TCCTCCTCTTCCTCCTCCTCCTCCTCCTCTTCTTCCTCTGCCTCCTCCTCCTCCTCCTCCCCCTCCCCCTCATCGAGGAGCAGCTTACCCGCGTCGCTCGGCATCGGGCCAGGGCGCAGACCCAGCGCGGCGCGCGCAAGCTCCTCCCAGCTACGCCCTGGACCGCCCCAGGTGTGGCCCTCCCTCCTTTCGACGACCGGCTTGCACGCTCACACCGACCATGGCCAGGCCCGCCCACTGGCCCAGCATCGGTAAATAGATAGCCTTCATGGACCACGGCCGGGAAGGCGTGCTTGCCCGCCCTGGGCACAGGATTGGCCTGACCCCGGAGCGGTCTGCTTAGAAGCACGGGCCAGGGCGACGAAATCTATGCACATCCACTGCTCCCCGGCCAAGCCCATCCTTGAACCCAGCAGGAATGTATACGCCACGCCCTCCTGGCTTGGCCATGAAGGCGTATACTCAGCTCCTGGGCCCAGGAATGGCCCGTGCAGAGGGCAGGGGACATGCATCGCCGCCCGACATCGCTCGGCGTGGGCGATTCAGGCCCAACGAAAAAACCCGGCTCCACCGATTCAGAAAAACATGTGCCGCAACTTGGTTGTTGGCGGGGGCTCCCGCACCCAGCTCGGCCGAAACGGAAGGCCCACTCTGGAGCCGCGAGAGGCTCCCAGAGTCGACTCGGCCAGGATCCGAAATGGCAGGATCCCGCAAGATCTGGCGCTCTGGCTGGGCTCTTCTTGCGCTGCACGGCGGTGCCTACCAGTTGACACCTGCACTTCTAAGAGGCCACCCAGATGGGGTCCGAGCAGATGGGGTCGGAGGATCGCGCCGCATTGCCGACGCGTCGCCGATGCATCGGCGACGCCAGCGTGGAGAAAGTCGGGCTCCACATCGAGCTGCATCCCCGATGCATCGGAAATGCGGCGCGATCCAACGACCCCATCTGCTCGGATCCAGTTTTGGCGGCGCGCACAGGGGGGGGGAAAGGGGGAAGGCTTCTTAGAAGTAGGCTGCTTAGAAGGCGCCAGCCCTACATCGAAGATATCACAAGGCCCGCGCCTTCTGACAAGCAGGGGTGTTTCTAAGAAGCCGTCCACCCTCCCAATACCCCCTTTCTGCGCATGGCCGACTATTTGGAAGGCCTAGAACTTCCGACGGAGTGGCTCGCTCGCTCGTCGGATCGGGCTCCTCGATCTGGAAGGGGGCGTCTGGCAGGGCCCCACCTTCCAAGAGGCTGCTGGCGCCGGCGGCGAGGGCGTCTTTCCGCGCCAGCTGGGCCGCCCCACGGCTGGTTTATACTCCACGCCGCTCCCCTCTAGACAGGGCCAAGCAGCATCGAATCGCGAAATCGGATCAGATCGGAAGCCGATCGGATGACCAGCGAATCGTCCCGAATCGGATCCCTGGCAGATCGCAGCGTAAGGCCTCCGGCTGTCCCCGGCCGATGCCGGTGAATCGAAGCGAACCGAATCGGATCGGAATCGCGGCCCCACCCAGCGAAGCAAATCGCCACGAATCGGGTCATAAACGGCCCTGCCAGGTCCAGGCGTCGTGACAGAACATCGCGCCCGGTGTGTTCGCTGGGTGCCGGTCCCCAGAGCCCTCACAGCTCGATCCCGGCCAAGAAGAGCGACATAAAGATGGGATAGATGGCTGCAACCGCCCTTCAGTAGGCGGAGCAAGATACTTGCACCAGCATCGGAGGTGGTCATGCACAAATGGAGTTGTATTACATGTAATGTAATTGCTCCCCATGTGTGGATTGCACCACGTGGAAAGCTGTGAACCGCATACGTATATATCCTCGTATAGTTGGTACTTTGCTACAACATATATATATATATATGTTCCATACTGACATTGTTTTAAGGTGTACCTTAATTCTGACACTACGAAGGAAACCAACTAATATGAATTGGGCAGGCGCACGCAATCATGTTGTTGTACTCGTCTGAAGACGGGAACGTACGCATCCGACAATCGCCATGCAAGTCAGCATACATCTAGTAGAACACTACACTACAACAGTGCATGTGGATCATGGCATCAGGCAACGGATGGGGTAACAATGAGCATTGTGGTTGCTACAATATTACCGGTCAAATAGCGGCGCGAAGGAACATGTCTCAACGACCAACGTAGGTGTACGTAGGTGTAACTGTAATACAGCGTGGCCGGAGAGTGGGTAGCCAACTCCCGATCGCTCGCGAGGACACGTTCCAGCACGGGAGAACCAGGGCCAACAGCGGGAGAGGAGGCAGAGCTGCAGCAGTGGACGAACACGACGACGAGGGGAGGGGAGGAGCAGAAGGAGGCGCCCATGCACGGGGAGAGCGGCATACGGCAACCAGAAGCGAAACTCAGCCCCGCCTCCAGCCCGTGCTCTGACTCGGGCAGCGTGAAGATCAAGCCGTCCCGTGGGCCCCCGACCTCCAGCACCGTGGAGAACACAGGCTCCGCGAACATCCTCACGTCGTCGACGTGCCGCCCAAGCCAGTCGCCTGGCAAGTACCTCCGCAGGATGACGTTCAAGGCCGCTGCCGGTTGCGGCGCCAGGCCGAACAAGTCGGTGGCACGGCGGATCAGCTTGTGGCAGCAGGGGAACAGCTCAAGCGGCTTCACGTTGGGGTACCTCGGCACATCGAAAGAAAAGGGGGTCCTGGCGCGGAGGTGCCCTGGCCCCTGGGGCTTCTCCTGGGGACCAATTTCCCAACCCACGCAAATGTTTGAGGGCCTGGGGCCAATTTACCAAGAACGACGAAACCCTGACGAGCGCCGATCTGATTGTCTCAATCCGCGGCCCCAGAGATCACGACCACTACCCCAAGAGCGTGGTGTTTTCGCCCCAGATTCACTTTTGATTGTCCCCAGCCGAGGGCCGACATCGAAGAGAAACCGCCGGTCAAAAACTCATACTGCATCTGTGAACGCCTCCCCCTTCCCCCAATGTTCAAAGTTGGCGGTGGGTCTGATGAGTTGCACCTCGACCGCAGTCTCCCCCCCGCGTGCCAACTTTGAGTTTTGGGGACAGGGGGGGTGTTCACTAATTGTTTCCCTCCACCGTACCGCTGCTCCCCGAAACTCTCCTGGGCTGCCTTCTGACCAGAACCTCGAGGCGAATCCAGCCGTGGCGACGAGGGGGCCTCCCAGGAGGCCCAGACGGGGCGAAAAGGAGGGCCATCCACCTGTTCCCTCGAGGAGGAGGAGGAGGAGGAGGAGCGCAGCGTAGAGGAGAGGTGCCTCCGACCGACCACTGTGCTCAGCTCAACAGCTGAGCACACCTCTCCACACTCGAGCAACTGGCTTCGCCAGCGACCAGAGCGGAGAAAAGAGGAGCAAGGGCGGCGGCCGCAGGCGGCGGGGCGGGCGGCGGGCGCCTGCCTATGTCGATCATCACGTGCATGTGGGCAGCGAGCGATGTTTCAATCATGGCCGCGGGAGGCGGCGCGAGAGAGCGAGGGAGAGAGGCAGCAGCAGGAGGGACCTCAGCAGGAGCAAGAGGGCGGGTCGAGAGGACAACCATGGAGCCACGTGAGCGGCGGACGGCCACGCTTTGGATGTGGGGACCGTACGTGCATGCGAGCGGCAGATTATTTTCGTCGCCACGCTCACAGGTCATTCTTGAAGCGCGGTGGCCAGGATTTCCACCAACATCCAGCAACGTTGGCGACGTCTGAGCCTGCAGCGACGGGCTCGAGGAGCACCCGTGCCCATGACTTTGCGTTCTGCCAGTAGCTTCCAGCGGCATAGGCGACGACTGAGCCTGCTGCCACGTACTCAAGGAGCACCCTTGCACAGGACTTTGCGTTCTGCCAGTGACATCCAGCAACAACGGCGACGACTGAGCCTGCAGCAACGGGCTCGAGGAGCACCCGTGCACAGGACTTTGCGTTCTGCCAGTAACATTGACGCCACAACCTTCACTATGTCCAACACGTTCGGGTGTGGCGATCAGCGTCGACGGAGTGCCAGGGCTTGGCGTCGTAGGAACGAGCCGTGGTGTCAGGCATGGAGACCGGCCAGGGGCCAAGCCTTCCCCGTTCGCAGCGTCCCGCGCGGCACGGTTGACGTCGGGGTCGTCAGCCGAGGAAGTGGAGAGATCATCGGTGACCGTGAGCAGTGTCGGCATGAAGAACAGCGGCGGCTTCCATTTCTTATCCAGCTGGTCTGTTGGAGACGCCAGTCGAGGAGTTCTGACCGCAGCCCGAGTCGCAGAGTTCAGAGCAGTAGTAGTAACTCCCTCACGATAACGAACAGTGTGATACGTAGTGTACATAACCACCAGCTCCTCCACCCGTTCCACACATGGTGCCGTCAGGCACAGTCGCTCATGAAGAAAGGTAGGGAGTGAGCGACCCAGAGCACGGCCGACAGCCCGAACAAGGCGCTGGCACCGCATGTAGTGGCACTGCCTGTCAGCACCAGTATCACACCCAAAGATACACCGCCGTTTTCCAGCAGGGTAACGTATTCGATAACTTGTGAGCCAAGCAGAGGCCCATGTCTTAATAACAGGGAAGACCCAGCTCGTGGGCAGCAGCTGCATCAGCATCTGAATCGCCTCCCACGGCACCCGATGTAAGAAGGGTTCATGCATAGTAAAGTAGCGTGCCAGCCTGGTCTCGAAGATCACGTACAACGGGAACGGTGTGACGAACTGCTCGTATAGTGCTGTGGTGGCTGCTCTCTGAAATTTGAGTGCACGTCCCGTGACCAACAGTTCCGAAGCAATAGCAAACGTACAGCAGCGTAGGATGTCCGAAGGGTAGCCAGCACGCGCAGAGCCTTGCTGCAGCCAGGAATAGGTCTGCAGGATGGGCGGTAGCCGCCAGTGCCGTCCAGCGTCACACATCCAATCCACCCGAGTGCGACTGGTCGCGAGGGAAACATCATCGAATCTTCCCTGCAGCAGATCATCATTCCAAGAAAGGGTAGTGTTAGTAATGTTAGAGCGTATGTGGGTATGTTCGCTGAACGTGATGGTGGCAGCTCGGGTCAGCGCAGCGGCACATGTATGTTGCATGAGTGGGATCTTGGGGCCACCCCACGCAGAGAGCTGGGCCCAGCCAGAGGCAGACAGAGTACCCATGGGAGCACGAAATACCTGAGTCAGCACAGAGAGCTCGAAAGCGACCATCCTGGGAGGCAGGGGGAAGAACTGAGCCAGGTAGGACAAGACAGGGAGGGCTCTTGATCGGTAGAGCACGCCGTTGATCCCCAAGGGAGCGGAGCCAGAACCAAGGAGCCTGGCCCGTAACTTTAGTTTCATCCGAGCAGCGTCCCATTGCATCTGGATCGTGACGTCGGGTCCCAAGAGAACGCCAAGGTACAACAGGTGGGCCACGACCTCGAAAGCCTGCCATTCGGGAACAAGCCGACCGAGGAGTGCCCGTGTTCTTTCCTGAAGATCAGGGCCAAACGTCTCGTGCAGCGGGGCGACCTTGCACTTACTGACCTTGAGGCAAAGCCCAGTAAAGAGCCTCGTAGTAGTCATCACACGGTGTAGCACTTGGAGCCCGCAAGCCTCGAACAAGACAGCCCCAATATCGTCCGCGCAGGCCCTAGCCAGGCCAAGTCCAGAATCCTCCAGAGAGCATTCCAAGTCGATCAGGAACGGGGCCGTGCACAACGCGCACAAGGTCCCAGACAGGCCGCAGCCCTGTATGATCCCCGACCTCAGCCAATACACCGAGTGGAGCAGGCCACCGTAGGCCACGACCCCTTCTATCGCAGAGTACAACCAGGTTAGAAAATGCATCGCTGGGAGTGGCAGGCGAAGGTGAGCGAGGAAAAGCATCATGAACTCCTGGGAGAGGCTCGGGAAGGCCTGGCCGAAATCGAACGAGACCAGCAGCGGCATCCTAGACGGGGCCAGCGGGTGGGCCTCAGCGATACGACTGAAGCCGTCTAGCTCCAGGATGTTGTACCCAAAGCTTCGGCCCTGAACGAAGCCGCGCTGCGACTGGGGGACGAGGGGGTCGACAACACCTTTAAGTGATCGGTTCACGGCAGACGTCAGCATTTTCAAGTCGGTGTTGCGCAGCCCAAGGACCCTGATCTTATCTGCAGTGCGAATGCAGCCCCCAGAGGCCAGGTCTTCGTGTTCCGATCCCTTAGGTAGGTACGCTTGCAGAGTAACGCTGGCCGAGTCGAAGAGAGACTGGCCCCGCAAGATCCAGTCCATCATAAGACATAATACTTATAGGCAGCAATCGGCAGCAACCCATGCGGCGCACGGCAGTCCGTCGATCCCAGGGGCAGAGTGGCGAGCACGAGAAACAATATTCCGAAGCGTCGCGTTCGAAGGTGGTGGGACGTCTGGGAGCACAGGTGAGGGACACTGCTGTTCGAAATGAGTCTGAGCGGCTTCGAGGTCGACTTCCGAGCGCGAGAAGACAGGGCGCCAATACTCCGCGAGGGCAGCAACCCTTTCCTCAGGAGAAGCAGCAAGCCGATTGCCGTCTCGAACAGCACGCAGAATCAACCTCCGTGAGAACGGGGCCCAGATCGCAGCTTGGCGCTCCAACAACTGACGACGACGAAACGAAGAAGGCGGACGGGTCGAACGAGAGCTTGCAGCAGCGTCAGCGGCAGCACAAATCTCTTTTTCCAGGAGCCTCATATAAACCCCATCCGTCCACATGTGGAACGATTCAGGATGCCGAAGGACGACTTGTGAACCTCCGACGTCGAGCATGCCAACTGCGGTGGCCGAGGTCGCCACCAGCCGACGGGCGAGAGGAAGATCTTGACGCCATACTGCTCTCGCACATCCTCGGGCAACGAGCAACGCTGTTTCGTCGCCAGCAGGATGGTGGACAAACATCCAGTCACGAACTTCACGGGCAGCCTCTTTCAACATATCCTTGAAGTGTTCCTGGTAGACTGCCGCCGAGCACACCGTCTCAGCGCCAGCGCCGTCTTTGAACATGCCCTCAATACGCTGCCGAAAAAGAGGGCTCTCGAAGATATGGCGAGGAACTGGCTGCTCAGATCTGGGGCGCACGTGACGTTGACGAAGCACCGTGGGCAGAGCAGCGTGGTCCGATATCAAAGCACGAGATAATTCTTCGGGCTCTCCGATGGTGGAGGACTCCGCACACATTTGGCACATCATCCATCCTGGCACCGAGCAGAAGAACCGATCGAGGCAGCTGACCGAGTTGGTGTCCTTTGTGTAGTGCGTCGGTGACTGAAGAAATCTCCAGAAAAAGTCATAATGTCCTCAGCCACCGAGCTGCCATTGCACGATGATTCCGAGGATCAGTAGCACGAGCTGGTTCAGGCCGTTGGAGGAGCAACGCCTCATCAGGGCCGAAGTTGAGGTCGCCCTGCACGATCACCAAGAAGTGAAGAGGGTCAACGGCTGCCCGTACCCGCGCAGCGTCGATCTCCGCACATATCTCGTCAATCTGCACTGCATTGAGACCATGATTGTGGATATTGAAGTGCACCAGCTGAAACCCCTGCCCGACTACGTCGACTCGAAGGGCCCTTCCTTGCACGACGGCCGAAGCATTGCTGGTAACATCGAGCTCAGACGCGAGCTTCGGTAAGATAGTGGCGACCCCTCCTGCAGACGATCCCCCAACATCGGCAGCGCAAAACGAGGCGTGGACCACAGCATCCCGATGAAGACGACAGAGATAGTCTTCGAGTTGCAGACGATCTTGGTGAACTTCCTGAAGTGCAAGGATGGACCCAGGAAGGCGAAATCTCTTCAAATATGACGACTTGAGTCTACTCTTCGCTCCTCGGTACTGTAACAGAGCTCGAGCATTCCAAGTGATGAATCGCATCGGTTCATTCTCATTCCCACGGGTCGGAGTGTGGAAGAGCTGCATGAAGCCGTCAAAGACACCATGTCGTAGGAGGCGGAGGGGCTGTAATTTCATCCACCACTGCTTGGATGTCGGCACGCGTGAGCTTGAGGTCCAAGATGCCCTCTTGGTTGAACTGCACGGTGTACGGAGCGTCCTCAGGGTTCGCCTGGATCTTGAGCACGCTGGTCCATCCGCTCTTGAGGATGCCTCGCTCACGGTCAACAGACCACCGTCCACCAAACTTGTCAGAACACGCACCACGGATCCGACGAAGAGCCATTTCCGTCGTGACCTGGCGTGGAAATTTGTCGGGCCCCAAGTGGAGGCGCCCGTCGGCGGCGGCACCCGAGGCCTCGACGTTGAACACCCTCCACTGATCGTTGCGGCGAAGGTTGCTGAGCACCTTCGAGACCTTCTTAGAGGCGAGGCCTGTGGCCCCGTTGAACTTGATGAGAAACCTGCGGGCAGGAGTCGGGGACGGACGCGAAAGGGTGTATTGGTCTGCTTCGAATCCGAGCTCAGATAGGAACGGCGCCAGCACATCGCGTACCTGTGGCAAACCAACCATTTTGGTACACATCGCGACCACCACGGCAAGGTCTGTCTGGCGGTCGAAGTTGGCGGGCGGCGAGGGGGCCGCTTCCTGGCGCTTGGCCACATGAAGTCCTTCACGTAGCTCGGCAACCTATGCTCGTAATTGGCGCAGCTGCTCTGTGTGTGAGTCCAGCTCGATGCTGAGAGTGGCAACCTTTCCTGTGACATCATCGATTTGTCGCTGCATCTTCCTTGACAAATCGTCGAGCTGCGGTCGGAAAGTAGCCATCGCCTTCTGGTCAAGCTCTGCTGGTTGATCTTCCAACTGCTTCTGCAGTGCAGCCAGGGTCCGCAAGATGGAGGCGTTGCTGGATTTAACAGTGTCGCCCACAGTCGAGGCGACGAGACCTTCGAGCTCCGTGCGCAGCTCGCTGAACTGGGAGGCAACACCATCGGCGATGACAGCTTTGATATACTCGTCGGGGTAGTCGTGAGCAGCATGCCCAGCGGGTGCACGAGCGTGGTCAGAACTTGCAGGGGAGCCACCAGCACGCACAGGAGCACCGACAGCAGGCTGATCAGGAGAATGAGCCAGCTGATCCGAGCGCCCGAAGACGAGCGCGGCACCAGCAGCGGCAGCGCGGGAGGCCAGGCTGGCGACACCCTTGCCACTGCCTGAGGATCCCTTGCCCTCCTCGGTGCGCGGATACTTGGGCTCAGGCGAACCCCGGACACGGCGGCCATCAGCACGATCATCGTCAGGGAAGGTGGGCATGTCTTCGATCTCCTGAGCGCACTGGGCCAGCGCCGCAGCATCGGGAAACCCCATTGCGACTGGGACGTTCGTACGCACAGGAACGGGAAAAGCCTCCGTTTACCCGTGGGGGCGAGCGTCAGAACGAGGAACAATCTCTGCCAGACCGCCAAGGGTCTTGTCTGCCGCGGACTAGCGGTATCCACTTGTTCCACTGAGGAACTATGCATCTTGAGCCAAAATGGCTTGAGCCAAAATGGCTACGGGGGAGGAGGAGGAGGAGGAGGAGGAGGAGGAGGAGGCGAGCACCGCTGCGGCCGCACCATGTCCCAGGCGCGCCGCGCCCGCGCCCGCGTGGCGTACTTCCGCCGCAGCTTCACGAAGGCCCGCGACGCCCAGAAGCCAACCCCGAGCTCCAGCGTGCCCTGCTCGGCGGGCGGGCGGCAGTATGCGCAGCGGCCCCGTGCACTGCCCCCCAAGCAGCGCCTCCCAGATATGGGACGCACACAGACATGCTGGTCAGTACTAGACGTTCTCCTTGGAGGCGCGCGTCCGACCTGAACATACAGTATACCCATCGTGTAGTGCATTCTTTCCCGAGCGGTGTGGCCAGAAAGCGCCCGCTACGACGCATACGCTGTAAGACTTCCGTGCGCCGCTCCTGGAGGGGCGGCGCATGCACAGTGTCAGTATGTTGGGGCGGCGCCGAAAGTAGCATCCCCATGTGTGGCACCCAGATGCAGAGGAGGCCAGTCCACAAGAAACCTTCCAAGAAACACAAGCCTGAGACCCCAGGACGTCCGTTGATTTTTGATGTGGGAACGTCACCCTGTCCACAGCAAAACTATCGAAACCCAGGAAACCCAGGACACCTTGTCACCCTGTCCACAGCAAAACTATCGAAACCCAGGAAACCCAGGACACCCTGGAGGCAAGCGGGGTGTTTCTTGGCCTGGGTCCCCACTGTATACGCAACGACCCTGTGCTCTGCCCCCGAGCAGCGCCCCTCGAGCAGCGCCCCCGTGTGTGGCACCCAGGCACCGCCCCCTGAGACGGAGCCCTGCGTCCAGCCGCGCGCGCGCCAAGAGAGAGCAAGGCCGTCCAGGGCCCCCCCCCCCTCTGATGGGATGAGGCGCGCCTCGACGTGGCCACGAGACCGTGGGCCAAGAACACGATCAGTAGCCCCGAGGCCTCCTGGAAATACCCCAGACGGGAAGCAATCCAGGGCGGAAAATCCAGAGCATGAAGAACATGAGTGAAGGGGCCCCAGGACACACAAATAAATACACACAAATAACAATATTCCCAATATTTTCCAATATTTTCTGAGTTTTTGTTTTCCCCCCCACTTCCCATATTTTCCCACATTTTCCTGGGAATCGACGATTAATTGTGTCTGTGTGTTTTTTCCCCTCCTGAATGAGGGTGCCCCTCCAAGGCGAAGAGGGGCTGCTCTCGACCCTCGTGCCAGACGCAACGCTGTGAAGCGAGGCACGCTCCGCCGTGGGAACCGCCTGCCCTGTGGCGGCTTGGACCTGCCGTCAGAGAGACCCTCGGCGGCGCGCCGGGGGGGGGGAGGTGAGAGAGCGCGGGCCCACTCCGAAGGCGGCGGCGCTTCGCAGAAGCCCTCTGGCCTCCTGAAAATCAGAAAAAAACGCATAAACATAAACTTGTGGCGCTCCGCGCGGATTTCTCGGATCCGCACCGGACCCCCCTCCCTGGCGCGCGGAGCGCGCCAGGGGCGGCGCCGGAGGCGGCGCCGGGGGGGCCCAGCCGATGAACGGTCGGCCGTGTCCGAAACGTCAGATCTTTCGACCTCGACCGATTCTGGGTCGCCGGCGGCGTTCAACGCTGAACGCTGGCGGCGGGGTCTCGCCGCTGGAGGACACGACGCGAACCTGCCGCAAGCACGGCGGGGGGGGTGCGGATTGGAGTGGGCTGCCCTTGGCGGGGCTTGGGGAGGAGGATCGCGTCAGGGGATCGGCACGGCACGCCAATACGAGACCTATGTTGCTTCACAGCAGCAATTCGGCCCCTGACTTTCGTCCTGGGCTCGGTTTAGTGAAGTGATGAATTTCGGGGTCCTTACGTGGGATAGAACATCACTTCACTAATCTGGGCCCCCTGCGGCCTCAGTGGGCCCTGGGGCACAAAATTAGTGAAGTGATGGTCTTCGGGCCTCGGAGCCAACGGCGGGGTCGCCGCTGGACGACACGACGCGAACCTGCCGCAAGCACGAAAGGGGTAGGGGCGGATAGGAGTGGGCTGCCCTCCTTTCGCAGGCCCTGGGGAGGAGGATCGCATCAGGGGATCGGCACGGCACGCCAGCGGCGGGGTCGCCGCTGCACGGCACGACGCGAACCTGCCGTGAGCACGAAAGGGGTAGGGGCGGATAGGAGTGGGCTGCCCTTCGCAGGGCTTGGGGAGGAGGATCGCGTCAGGGGATCGGCTCCGCGCGCACGGAGGTGGGGGCGGAACAGGCCGTCTGGCGAGCGTGGCGCGGGGGGAGTGCTGATCAAATGCTTTGGGAGCTGTGCTGCTACAGGCCTCGGAAAAAATTAGCGAACACTCATGCCACATTCATCTGTGAACGCCTCCCCCTTCCCCCAATGTTCAAAATTGGCGGTGGGTCTGATGAGTTGCACCTCGACCGCAGTCTCCCCCCCGCGTGCCAACTTTGAGTTTTGAGGGCAGGGGGGGTGTTCACAAATTGCTTCCCTCTACCGTATGATCTCGCAACGGAGTGCTCCACCCCCGTCGGAAAACAGCCCCCCGAACCCCACCCCTGTGATCTCCCCCCTCCTCGTGCCCCCAAGACACGCCTACAAAGGACTCCGAGATGCCCGAGACGTCTCGACGACTACCCACCAGGCCCCGAGATGGGCCATAGGAAGGTCACAGGGATGCCCGCGGAACTCTCCCGAGGGAGAGGGAGAGGGAGAGAGAGAGAGAGAGAGGGAGAGAACGAGAGAGAGAGAGAGAGCCACCGTGCCCCCTGGCACGTACAGACGCGGTAGAATGCCGAGTGCTGTCTGGTAGGGCCTGTTGAAGGAACCCCCGACCTCTACCCGCAGACTTCTGCATACCCCCCCCCTTGCAAGGGCTACGATCCTTCTAGAAACAAATGGCTCCACGCTCCCGAGGCCACGAACCTTCGTTTACAAAAATGGATATGCGCTCCGAAAGTCCAAGAAAACTCATACAAGCAACCAAACACACCAAGATGACCCAAGATGCCGCGAAGACGGCCCAATAAGGCCCCAGGGCGGACGAATATTGCCTCAAGGTAGACCACACAGACGTCTCCAAGAAAACCCAACATGGCCAGACGAAGACCTCCAATAATGACCGAAGAAACCCAACTCATTGATTTTCGGTTGGCCTTTGAATGGTGTTCGCGTTCTCGCCTGCCGAAGAAACCTCCACGTTAGCCCCAAGACGGCCCAAGAGGACCCGAAGAGGACCCCAACATGGCCCAAAAGGACTCCGTGATGGCCCAAGAGGCATCCATGACGGCCCCAACACGGCCCAAGAGGCCCCCCTGTTAGACCCACGACGGCCTTAGAAGGCCCTTCGACGGTTCAAACGGCGCAATGACGACCCCCAGGCACCTACCATGCAGCCAAGAGGGCCCCACGACGGCCCAAGCGAACCCCAATACGGCGTAGAGGGCCCAAAGACGGATAACATGGCCCCAAGGGATCCCGAAGACTGTTTCACAGGAGGCCAAGACAGCACGAAGGCGACCCAAATGAGTACCTCGAGGGCGCCTCAAGCAGTAAAGATGAAAGGTGCCACATGTGATGGCCGTCCTCGTCCTCCCCCTCTCCGGATTCTGTTCCTCCTCCTCGTCCTCTTCCTCCTCCTCCACCTCGCCACCACCGTCATCGTCATCATCATCATCATCATCATCATCATCATCATTATCATCATCATCATCAGCCTCATCATCACCAGGGTCATAATCATCATCACAAACAACATCATCACCATCATCGCTGTGAGCATCGTCATCATCATCACAATCATCATCATCATCAGCAGCAGCACAACCATCAGCATCATCACCACCACCATCATCATAATCATCACCATCAGCAGCATCATCACACTATTTAGCATCATAATCATCATCATCATCATGATCATACTCGTCATTTCATCGTTCTCAGCATCAGCAAAAGCATCATCAGAATAATCTTCAGCATCATCATCATCATCATCATCATCAGCATCTCTATCATGATCATCATCATTAGCACCATCAGCATCATCATCATCACCACCATCAGAATCAACAGCAGCTACTGAAATTAGCGTCAGCATCAATACCGACAGCATCATCATCATCACCACCAACATAACCACCCACCATCCTCCACACCCTCGTTTATCGTCATCGTCCTCGTACCCCTCCAACTCCTACTCCTTCTCATCATCATCTTCATAATCCGCATCATCCTCAACATGCTCATCGTCATTCACATCTTCCTCCTCACCATCATAGTTGTCAAACCCCACCATCCTCAAAATCCACATCTTCCCTCTCACGTCTCTCCCAAGCCTGGAGACACGAGGTGTCACACGTGACGGCCTCCTGTGCCACATCGAACAAACGCCACCAAGAATGCTGGCCTGGAACGGTGGCGGGAGTGCGACAGGCAACTGGACACACACGCACAGACACACAGACACACAGACACACGCACACAAACACATACACACACTCACACACACACACTTGTGGCGTCGGGGCCCTGCACGCGGCAACAGGGCGGAGAAGGTCTAAAGACAGGTAGCGCGCACGCGGACAAGAAGCGCCCGAGCCCTCAAACACAGACACACACACACACACACTTAGATAGTATACAGCATATGGCATGATAGAGAGATTGGCACAAAAAGCAAGTTCGTAACTCCGTGTGGCCTTCGCACGCGCCTGACGTTCCCAGCGTTGCTCAACATGCCTCCGAGACGGGCCCCAGGGGCTCCAGAGAAGGCCCTCCACGGGGAGTCCCCACCACGGCCCGGCAGGCCCCCAAGATGGCACAGGTCGAGATGGCCTCCGATCCACCCCTGGGAAGGCTCCACGACAGCCCAAAAGCACCCTCGGATTGCTCCATCGCGCCCAAAATCAGAAGGGGCGCTAGGATGGCTCCAACAGAATCCAGAATGACCCCGAGAAGCTCCCACGATCGCCCCACGGTCCCCCTCTCCTCCTCGCCCACATCCTCTTCCTGTCTCTAGCCGCACCCTCGTGCAAGAGTCAGGCCACGCGTGCAACCTGTCCTCGTTCTATGTCATCAGGTCAATTGTTCGTTTTCCTCTTCACTCACCCCCCCAAGATGTCATCCTCCCCCATCCCGCATCCTCTGACTTCGTTTCAAAACTACATGTCCTCCCCAAATCTCTGACTCCCACGTCGCTTTCCAAAGCATCCGCGTCGCGTGCCGCTAGTCTCCCCGACTTGGGACGAGACGTCCCCGCCGCTCATGATAGGAACACCCATTTTGTATCGTTCTTCGTCCCTGGACCTGCGGCAGCCCGCCCAGGCCTGGCCCATCAGCCAACACCTTCCATGGTCCAGTGACTCTCAGCCGCTACCACAGACAGGAGACCGATGGCCTTGCAGACACCGACGGTGACGACGCGCGCTGGGCTCGAATTGTTCGTTGAAGTCCTCGAGGTTGAAAGAATCCGAACAGGGTGTACGGGATCAGGGAAAGAAGATATCGGTCTGGAATCATCGTCGATACATCGCCGGACGATCGGCAGTAGGCTCCCGATAACAAAACCGAGTGTTCCTGGGCAGGCTGCCTTCGAGCCACGACTGGCGATGAAGCGGCGATCGGGGGTCGATCTTTTCCATCCTCTGAACTGATCTACCCGTTCGCAGCCCCTAAGAGGTCCAGAATCCAGAATAGAGCGACAATGAACATCACGAGCACGAGCGTTCGGAGGGCGCCTAGAGCCGACCCAAGCCATCCCCGAAAAGCTCCGAAATGTTTATTATACATCTGTAGCTTTCTGTTCACCTCCCGTGAAAAATCTGGAGTGCCGCCGGCGTCCTGCCAGGGCTCGACCTAAACGATGCTGTTCGTTTTCGTTTTGTTTTCGTTTTCCCTCGTTTTGTCTTCGTTCCGCCTTCGCTGCAAAACGAAGTCAAAACGGAAACGGTCACGAAATCGACAGAACACCATCCAGGTCGAGCCCTGTACCTCTGTAGCTTTTTGTTCGCGGCCCGTGAGAGGTTTGGAGTGCCATCGGCTTCCTGCCACTGGTGCCCTAGCGTTGGATGCGGCCAGAGGGTCTGAACTGGTTTGGTTGGACATCGGTCAGGAGGGGGGTCAGGCCAACACCCGCACATAAAATCGGTCCCTGGAAACCTCCCAAGGTCCCATCAGGTGCAGTTGTTCTACCCGGATCTGTTTTCACGGTCCCGGGGCCCGAAGACTTCCCCCAGAACCTGAAAAAAACAAAAAAAACCCTTTCCGAACCCAGAACCTCGAACCTGCCCGCCCTTCCTGCTGGCCCGAACCAGTGCTGGGCCACTTCAGACCTGCAGACGGCTCCAACCCTAGCTGGTGCAGTGGACGATCGGGCCGTGACCTCTGCCAGCGCTGCCCTGGCCAGCTCGGCGCCCCCAGGCAGCCGCGCCAGCCGCAGGCCTGTCAGGGCGAGAACCAGTCATACACGTGCACCGATGTGGACGCCCGAAATGGGCACGGAAAGAATGGGCACAACACCCAACAACAAATGCTGTCCCAAACCAGCAGCGGTCGCTGTTGGGCAGGCGGCCGTCTGTCTCAAATGGACACAGGCCGCGGCGGCGCGGACGGCGAGTCCTGTTCAGAATGAACGAGAACTGCTGTTGGGCATCGTACCCGTTCTTTCCGTGCCCACTTCTCAAGGGGCCCAAGGACACACAAATAAATACACACAAATAAAAAGATTCCCCATATTTTCCCAGATGTTCTGGGTTTTTGCCTTCCCTCCCAATTCCCATATGTTCCTATATTTTCTGGGAAAATCGACGATTCATTGTGTCTGTGTGTTTTTTTCCCTCCTGAATTTCGGGCGTCCAGACCACCCTGACTCCAGATCCGCCCTACTTTGGCTTTTTTTCCAACTTAAAATTGCGTCGGAAATCCACCTAGAGGAGGCCGCAAAAGTAAGGCGGAAATTGCTGCACCCAACATACAATGGGGCGGACATCCACAGAACCAGCAGCAGCAAAGGTAGGGCGGAAATTGGCATCAGCGGGGCTTGAAAAGGAAGGCGGAAATTCCAAGCCCCACTTACGAATTTCCCCAAAGTAGGGCGGATCTGGAGTCAGGGCAGGCCCCTCCTGCGCCCCGGGCCGGTGCTGCGCCGCCCTCGTGCTGCTTACCGCGAGGAGCGCGCCGAGTCGGGAACGGAGGGGGCTCCCCTGGCCACGGCGCGCCGCGGCCACACACCGAGCAGGGACCGGCCGTCCCGGCACTCCCATAGAGGCCTACCACGACATGTTCGTTCTCAGAGCCCCAAAGTGTCCCAAGAACAATGCAAATTCTTAGAACCTTCACCCGCTGTGTGGAAACAAGGCCGTCCCAGCCAGGCAAGCCTTGATCGGGGAGACGTAAGACCCGGGTACGGGGGACTCGGAAATCCCCGACGAGGTCGTCAAAAAAATGACGAGGCCGAGCCTGCATTTTGACGAGGCCTCCCGCTGCAGACATCCCACGAAACTCCTCCTCGTCAAAATCCGAGTCGCGGTCGTCAAAAAACGATGGCGAACCCGAGTCCCGGCAAACCCGGGTCTTACGCTCCCCCGATCTGAGAGCGTGCCGTGGAAGCCACAAGAGGTTCTTAGACCATGGTCTGGTAGGCCTCCAAGGCACGCCAGGGCGCTGCGCCACTGCTTGAGCAGAAGCCTTCCCCGACCCGGCTCTGAGGAGCGGCCCGAGAACCGGCGCCGCCCCTGCGCCCAACGCGGTCCTCACTCTTAGCGTCTTGGCTCCGCGCCCCGCTGGCAGGGCCGGGGGGCGGACGTCCCTCCCGGCGCAGCGCGGCAGAGGCCACCCGCGCGCGCGCAGCCGTCCGCCTGGGGCAGGGCGCCTGCGGCCTGTGCGGCGGCACCAGGGCGGGGAGCAGGCGGAGGGCGGCCGCAGAGAGCGGGCGGGGGGCCGGGGAGATATGGGCGGCGCGCACAAAGGGGGTGGAGGGGGGGGGGGGGCTTCTTGAGGGAGGCCGCTTCTTAGAAGGCGCCAGCCTTACATCTACAGATGAGGCCCTCGCCTTCTAAGAAGCAGGGGTGCTTCTAAGAAGCCCTCCCCCCTCCCCCCCCCACCCCCCTCTGCGCGTGGCTGATCGAAACAACCACGCCATAAGCATAAACTTCTGGCGCTCCGCGCGGATTTCCGTGGATCTGCGGTGGGCGCGCGGAGCGCGCCAGGGGCGGCGCCGAAGGCGCCGCCGAGGGGGCCCAGCGCGGATCCCAAAGAATCTGCGCGGAGCGCAACAAGAAGTGTGCGTGTATGCCGATTACGTTTCTTCTTCTTCTTCTTCTTCTTCTTTTTCTTCTTCTTCTTCTTCTTCTTGCTCGATCACCGCACGAAGCGCTTCGGCAGGAGCGGCCGGGGCGCCCGTCGCGCCCACGCCCATCGGGGGCGGCCATGAGGAGGGCGTCCGAGATGGGGGTCTAAAATCATGGCCGGCGACACGTGCGTGGCCCGGGGGGGGGCTGGGGACGTACTGAAACAAGAAGAGGCGCCACGACATCTGGGGAGATATCATGGCCCCCGCCATGAGATCCCCCCCCCGAGGTCATCACCCCCTCTTGGCCGCCCGCCAAGCACAGGGGCGGGCAGTGCGCTCCCCTACGGAGCGCGCCGGGGCGCAGCGCCTCCAGGGGAGGAAGGGTGGTCCCCTGTGGGCCGCCGAGCACCCTCGAGAGCGCAGGGGCAGTGCAGCGCGCAGCGCGAGCAGGAGGCGGGGGAGGCAGAGGCACACAGCCGCGGGACCCCCTGAATCCTCCTCCTCCTCCTCCTCCTCCTCCTCCTCCTCCTCCTCCTCCTCCTCCTCCTCCTCCTCCTCCTCCTCCTCTCTCCTCCTCCTCCTCCTCCTCTCCTCCTCCTCCTCCTCCTCCTCCTCCTCCTCCTCCTCCTCCTCCTCCTCCTCCTGGGCGAGCAGAGATCCGAGGCACATCGCCGAGGGGCCCCCCCGAATCCCCAAACCGTTGCATCTCTCCTAGCCTCTGTGGGGCACGTGCTGCTTCCAAAACGGCTGCCGCCAGCCGTCCGCCACCTATTTCCGCTGTGGACGCGCCGTCCCCGTGCTTTTGTTTTTGCTTCCGCCGCCTTCCGCCAGCCCTCCGCCGCCCTTCGCCGAGGAGCCAGGAATCCACCCAATCTATCCCGCGAAAGAGATGTCATAGTTGCCAGGCCGCTCCCGTTTTGCCTCCGCCGCCTTCCGCCGGCCTTCCACCGAAATTCACCGAGGAGCCAGGAGTCAACCTGATCTCTCTCTCTCGCTCTCTCTCTCTCTCTCTCTCGAGGGAGGGAGAGCCATCTTCGGAAGGCCCTGCGTATCGCCCCCGTTCTGCTCCCGCCGCCTCCCGCCGGCCTTCCACCGCCCGCCGCCGAGGGAGCCAGCAGTCCACCCGGCCTGCCCCTCGAAGGAGAAGCCCTCTTTGAGAGGCCCTGCGTAGATACGCCCACTCGGAATCCACGGGCCTCGTGCTTACTTACCTAGTGGCAGTGGTTGATGGACCAGCGGCGGAGAACCAGTCCCTTCGGATACCGAAGCCGTGGACGATGAAAGCTGCATCGACTTGCTCTGCGACGCCGAAAGCTGAAGGGCTCTGGGAGCAGAATCGGTCCGTCCATGACCGCGCATGACTAGAGGCCACCCAGATGGGGTCCGAGTAGATGGGGTCGGAGGATCGCGCCGCATCATCGATGCATCGGCGACGCATCGGCGAAGTCGGCGCCGTCGGCGCGGAGAATATGCGGCTCCACGCCGACTCGCATCGCTGATGCGGCGCGATCCGCCGACCCCACCTGCTCAGACCTCAATTGAGCAACGAAAAGAAACCTGTCTCACGCGAGATGGCATGGCGACCTTATGCCACGGCTTACGCGGGCCGCAAGCGCGGTACGCTACATCGGAGAAGAGGGCGCTCACGCGCGGCCTTGCGCAGGAAGCTTACACGCAAATGTCTCCACAATTTTTGCGTCGCCCATTTAGGACATCAAGAGTGGTGCACAAGGTCTGGGGAAACCAACAAGTACGGATGATAACGCTACTCTCCGGACCTTTCCCAGGGGTCGTTCTGACCAGAATTTCGAGGCGAGGCCAGCGTTGGCGACGAGGGCCTCCCATGAGGCCCGAAAAGGCGAAAGCGAGGCAATGGCAGCGGTATCGGCACCTTTTCTTGGCGGTGCGCGTAAGGGGGTAGGGGGAGGAGAGAAGGCTTCTTAGAAGGAGGCTACTTCTTGAAAGGAGTCGGCCTTCTATCTATTGAGAGGGCCCACGCCTTCTAAGAAGCAGGGGTGCTTCTAAAAGCCTCCCATCCCTCCTCCTACCTCCCTCTGCGCGTGGCCGACAACCAACTAACCTTCACGAGCGACCACCTTCCGGAAGAGAAGCAGGAGCGATCCCCTCTAGAACAAGGAAAGACGACATACAGGGAGGTTAACAAGAAACAAGGAATTTAAAACATAAGGAATTCAAAATTCTAGGTTGTCCAGTACCCACCGGTCGGAAGAAGTAGGTAGAAACATGAAGTAGGAAGGCGGAAGAAGTAGATTGCGTTCGGGGCCGCCCCAAAAAAGCAACAGCAACAGCAATTACAAGAAGTAGATTACAAATTTTCGGGCCCTGTCTTAGCGGCGCGCAATAGCGCTAGGTCGCTCGGCCCCTCGCATGGCCCCTTCCCTCGCTGATTTCGGTTGTTCTGGTTTGTTTTCGTTTGTCCGTCGATCGCACTGGCAGCCTTTCGGTGGCTCGGCCCCTCGGCAGGCCCAATTCACTGGTTTTGTCTGCTTTTGTTTGTTTTCGCTTGCCCGTCGGCTGCACTGGTCGCCCCAGGCTCGCCCGCCGCCCCGCGGTCGCTTGGCCCCTCGGCTGGCCCCATTCCGCGGTTTTGTTTGTTTTTGTTTGTTTTCGCCGAGCCTGGGGCGACCAGTGCAGCCGACGGACAAGCGAAAACAAACAAGAACAAACAAAACCAATGAATTGGGCCAGCCGAGGGGCCGAGCGCCCGCGGGCGGCGGGCGAGCCTGGGGCGACCAGCGCAGCCGACGGACAAGCGAAAACAAACAAGAACAAACAAAACCAATGAATTGGGCCAGCCGAGGGGCCGAGCGCCTGCGGGGCGGCGGGCGAGCCTGGGGCGACCAGTGCAGCCGACGGACAAGCGAAAACAAACAAGAACAAACAAAAGCAATGAATTGGGCCAGCCGAGGGGCCGAGCGCCCGCGGGGCGGCGGGCGAGCCTGGGGCGACCAGCGCAGCCGACGGACAAGCGAAAACAAAACCAATGAATTGGGCCAGCCGAGGGGCCGAGCGACCGCGGGGCGGCGGGCGACTGGGGCGACCATGCAGCCGACGGACAAGCGAAAACAAACAAGAACAAACAAAACCAATGAATTGGGCCAGCCGAGGGGCCGAGCGCCTGCGGGGCGGCGGGCGAGCCTGGTGCGACCAGCGCAGCCGACGGACAAGCGAAAACAAA